CTCGACCAAGGCAGTAGGTACGACATCGACCACGGCAGACTCGTCCGCGAAATTTGTTCTGTCACGATCGCGGACGGCTATGTCCGCATCCGAGTCATCGCATTCACTATCGCAGCTCCAGTCATGAATGTCCGAGTCCATGATGGACTGGAGCACCTCTTCAGCCGATATTCGGCGACTCGCCGTGCCTTAGTGACAGCCAGAGAGACCTAAAGTATGTTCCCTCAATCTAATTGTTTCTGAATCGAAATATGTTTTTCGCCCGAGCGCTCTGAACATATGCTCCCGCGCCCTTACTTACTCAAACACGGCGAGAGAGGTCTTGTTCAATAGGGGAAAACCCCTAGTTTCCCCTCGAAGAGCCACAATCGGCCAAGGTAGATTGTAGTGCATGGCCAGTGAGATATAGTAGTGCGCACTACGAGGACGAGATATCTCGTCCTTGGCCAATTGCGTGGGGGTCTGTAAGACGAGTTATCTCGTCCCTGGCACTATTATTTATATTATTATATTAAAAGCATGTCCGCGTAGGTGGCGGGGGTGCCACTTTCGCTTATGCCATTCAGGATTGATGTCTGAAGAGTAATACGATACAATGAAATGACAGAACTGACGTCAACAAAAGCCGTTAGCAACAATACCAATAGGACTAATGGAAAATTTCATCCAAAGTATAAAATAATGTAGAATATGCATACAACATGCCCGGCGGAATAAAGTGGATCACGAGAATCAGTCCTGTTAGGTGGGGCAAGCTCCACGCCATGCCTGTCGGTCCGCTGCCATTGTGCGGACTGCGTCAGCATCTAGCGGCTGGTGGATGGTAAGTCCATGCCATGATGACAGTTCCGTCTGCAAGACCGTTACCAAAGTCGTCCGAGGTCGACCCCTGAAGCGTTCAGTGCCCTCGTCGTCCTTGGCAGATGTGTCTGTGACCCCCAGTGTGGTTACGGTTTGATCTGGCAGGTCCGGTGCGGTAGTTGTGTTGGAGAATCACTCTGACTATCCAGTACAAATTGCTAAAGATGTTGGTATTGCACAATTATCTCCTGTACCCGATAACTTGATTGGAGAGGATGATGATCCTGCTGATTCATCTGTTGCGGATATGCAACCGTTTGTGCTATCCCCTGAACGTGCCGAGATAATCCGTACGTATGTTGAGTCTCGGAATCATCTGGCAGTACCTGAACAGGGGCGTAGCAGCCGCTCCGGCTGGTCCGGCCAAAGCCGGACCACTTTTTCGCCCGACCACGACCACCATAGTAAAACAATGCCAAAAGTGCCCAGAATGCAGGATTTTGCACATTAATTTCAAAAACATTCCGCGGGGCAGATCCCCTCCCGACCCCCCCCCCCCCCCCCTGGCCGGACCACCGCCAACGGCGGTGCTACGCGCCTGCTGAAAAGAACAGGCTGACAGAGCTTCTTCGTGAGAATCATGACTTGTTTCTCTTGCAGGAGGGTGATTTTGGTTCTTGTGATGTTTTGCCACATAGTAGTAGTGCTGGTGATGTACAGCCAGTTAACCCTTTGTCCTTTCGCCCATACTTGAACCGTACACCTGTGTACGGTTCAACCCACGCATGTTCAAAGCGACCTGGAAGCTACGCGGATCACCCGATCCACATGAAAATTCACGTGCACACAGCCTATGCTATGTAGAGGATGATACATGGGTCGCTGGGGCTAGTTGCCATTTGAAAAATTTCAGGAAATCAAAGCCGAAGTTTGCTTGCGCCGTAACTTCCGACATGGCAGCACGCAGGTGGCTTGATGCAGATGAAGCGCTTGTTTGAGGATAGCTAGAGTGACCCAAGCGACAATCCTATGTCCTCTGATGAAGAGAACTAACTGGACGAAGCCTTAGTTGAAGGTGTTGATTCTGATTTTGATGACGACGCGGATTATTGTGTCGTAACCGTCGACCCAACTGTCGGACATGTCGACCGCTCCGATTTAAGTGCAGGATCGGCAGAACAGCACTCGAGTGGTGAAGAGAGTGTACCACCGCTGTGTCTTATCCGTCGTGGAGCGGCAGGGACAGCTAGAGTGCCGCAGCACGTGGAGCGGGAGCGTAGTCCGATCCCAGAGAGGTCCAGATCTCCGTCACCTGCGCGCCGTCAAACTCATGGTCGACAGCCGCGCAGAGCGAGGAGAGTAGCCGCACGGGGCCGAAATGTCGAGCATTTCGCCACTGGCACTCCTCTGGCTAATGCTCCGTGTTTGCCCAACATGCCAGGGCTTCTACTCCAGGTCATACTTGTACAAATTGCACATTATTATACATAGGAAAGAACTTGAACTTTGAAATTTCGCAGATTTTTGCAAAAAAATCATTTTTGATACTCTTGTTTAGCCACGCCTATCTGAGGAATTCAACCTAAACTGCATTTTTAGTTCACAAATATCATAAGCTTTCAGGAAAACATAAAGTGTACATACAAAATATCAGCTGCTTGGGTATGGTGAGTGGATTTGTTGAAGCAGGTACCCCTCACATACATTTTGGGCAAAAGGACAAAGGGTTAAGCAGCCTACGCGCTCTTTGCAAGCTTTGCTGGATGGATGATCTGTTGTCCCGTGGTATACTTACCGAGTCTATTAGACCCTGGGCGTCGCCCATAGTTCTTGTTCCCATGAAGGCCGTTTCTCTCCGATTATGTATCGACTACCGCAAGTTGAACAGTATTGCGGAGCCAGATGCGTATCCTATCCCACGTATTGATGACATATTGGACTCACTCTCTGGCTGTTCATGGTTCACTTGCCTGGATTTAGCGTAAGGATATTGGCAGGTTCCTAAGCACGAAGACGATACGGCAAAGACTGCCGTTACGACACCGTTGGGTTTGTGTGATTTCTTGGTTATGTCTGGCTGTAGAAATGGTCCAGCGACGTTCCACCGTGTAATGGAAGCAGTGCTTCATGGTTTATGTAGTGTGTCTAACCAACCATTCTGTCAAGTATTCTTCAACAGTGTATTGAATGCCAGCTCTACGTTCACTGGACAGCTCCAGATCCTGCAGTCTGTATTTGGCCGGGTTCGTACTGTTGGTCTAAAGGTAAACTTGGAAAAATGTTCTTTTTTCCAATGGAAGGTGCTCTTCCTTGGCCATGAAGTTTCGGCTGAAGGTTTGGCTCCGGATCCCACCAGGGTTGAGGCTATTGTGAAGTGGAACGTACCCCAGTGTGAACGAGGTGTACAGGTGTTTCTGGAGTACGCCGGGTTTTACCGCCGCTTCATCCGTGGTTTTGCTCAGCGCTCCGCTTCACTAAATGTATTAGCAGGCAAGGGTGCAAGCTTTACATGGACTAAGAGTAGTGATGCGGCGTTGACGTCTATGAAGCGGTCACTGACCACAGCCCCAGTGTTAGCATATCCTGACTTTTCTGTTTCGTCTGACAGCTTTGTTCTAGATACTAATGCAAGCAAGGTGGCCATTGGAGCTGTCCTCAGTCAAATTCAAGATGGCGAGGAACACCCATTGCCTTTGGCAGCCGGGTATTGACGAAGGTAGAGAGGAAGTACGCGTCAGACCGGGAAACACTTGCCCTTGTGCTTTTTGCCAATCAGTTCCAGCACTATTTGCTAGGTCGGAATTTCATTGCCCGTACTGATAACACTGCCCTCACACCGTTGATGTCCATTAAGAAACCACGCGGTCGCAAAGCTCGGTGAGTGGAGCAACTCTTGGAGTATAGCTTCACTTCTGTTCACCGGCCTGGTCGGCAGTACTTGAATCCAGATGGTCTGTTGCGTACCTTGTTGCCGGAGGCGCATCGATCCCATCTCGAGACTTCTGCAGATCAGCCGGAGCGAGCCAGTTCCCCTGCCGCAACGGCATCTGAGGATGTCGCAACTCCTGTATTAGCTGGCCTCTCCGAAACTGAGTTGGCTGCTGCCAAAGCTGTGGATGTCAACCTCTCAGTGGTTTTGCCCAGGTACAATGTGGTGAGTGGAAAATTTGTTCGCCCTCCGGAAGGTTTCTGGCACTAGTCGTACCATGCGTTCTCGGCTAATGCAGTTGGATCAGAAGGAATATTCGGTTCTCATCTGATGCCTCACGGTGCCTGCTCTGCAAGCAGTTGACCATGACCCTAGTTGTAGCCTGCTGTCGTCAGAGCCCATCTCGCTCGCAATGCTGGACTGCCTGCTCGGTTTTGCTATGTCCTGAGTTTTTTTCTCTGTTTTATTTCTCTATTCACGAGGGCGCGAATTTTTGGTAGAAGTAGGATAGTGTAGCATGGCTACTTCATCACACGTAATTTGTATACACATAAATAGTACACCGTAGGAATGCATGGATAGCAGTGCGCATACTTGCACTGCCCTTGGTCTTCTTCTTCTCCTTGTGAGACAATGAACGAATGATAACTACAAACGTAACTACAAGTATGTGCTTTGAGTGCTGAGACTGTATATCAGTTACACAAGTACCTACTTCATTCCTGATGATGATTATTTTATAACCAAAACGTTGAATCTTTTCCCTGAAATGAATTTGTGAAAAGCAGAGATTGAGTGTGAGCCAGTGTTGCTCACAAGCCAATTTTTATCTATGGACATTATCTTTCAAAACAATTTGAACTATTCCATTGCTTTGGAACTGGATTGTTAGGAGACTGTGGAGTGCCCACAAATCAAACTGGAGGTACATATCCGATAGGACGTGATACAACCACAGGAAAATCCAAGACAATAAGTTGTTCTGATGGATATGCCGTCAATCTCAAAACAATTGGTTTAATTAATAGACCGATCCCCTTATTATTGTCTGGGTTCGAGCAAGGGGGCTATTCCGCGGTTGCATGGATCCTACTTCACACACGCGACCTGAATCACCTCGACTGGGCGTGACTTCTCACATGCGAAGTGCAGAACACGGGAAATGAGAATTATGGAATTTGATGCGAGTCAAGATTTTTCCCGAGCTTAAAGGGTAAAATAATATGTAACTAATCATGATTTTTGTATTTCAAATCCGCTGCACACACAGGGGACTGTGGATCACCACCAGGCAATATTCCTCATGGTACATTCCCAACTGGAAGTCCAACAACGGCTGGAAGTAAACTCACGGTGATGTGTGATACTGATTCTGGATATACAGCTAATACTACGACACCACAGAACATATCTTGTGGCACTGATGGTAATTGGACACCGATGCTTACGAATCCTTGTATCCGTGAGTATTTCTAATGTTTTAAGGACACATGCCCAATAAGCACATATAGCATAGCGTCTTGCATCAATTAACCCTCTGCGTGCTGAGTACGAGTTCAATAGCGCTTTATGCATGACCTGATCCACTACTTGGTCCGCGTCAGCGATATTGTCGCTCATCTTTCAGCTTTGTTTATGTGTCGCCAATGCTTACTTGGCCGCCCATTTCATCCCAATTTTGGTTAGTAAGTTAGTTTACTAGTACTGTATAACACCTTTATTTCGGTGTAATTTAAATTTCGGTAACTTCGGTACTGGTCCTAGATCACCTTATTTAACATTACACCTAAATTTTCCGAAATACCAAAAATATGTAAAAATCATGAAAATCATTGTCAAATTTAAAAAAGAGTCGGCGTGGAGAAAGCAATTTTATTAGTGCAATTAGGAGTATAATCGATGCAGACATGGCCAAACAACAACGAGTTCATGGAATTTTTAAGGATTTTTATGTTATTCAAAATCGATTTTCGTGTTCCGCTCATCAGTGAATAGTATCGGAACTGAGGGTACTGTGTACAAAAATAGAACATTTTATAACAGCATAATTAATTAAAAGTGTGAACAACAAAGGAAGTGCTACAGCATTACATAATAGGTGTCAAACATAGTGCTAACGTATATAACTGAGTGCAGCCACAAAGCAAGAGGTGATACAGTGCAACATGACACAACATTTACATCTGATAACCAGCTACGAGAACAACTTTAGCGCGACTACATGCTTCTTTTGTTTACAAAGAACAGGATTATGCACACGAATACATACAGCTTCCAGAACCTTCAACTGCTTAACATAACTTGCACGGCACAAAACAGAAAAGTGAGAATCATCGTACACACTACGACAATCTGGACGTGATAACAAGTGACAAAATACAGCTGACTTTTTGCTCACGTCGCTCTCTTCCGTCTTATCCCGCTCCTTTCCTTCGATCTCCTCCGCCTTATCCTCGTCCTCCGTCTCATCTTCATCATCATCGTCCTCATCACCACCATCATCATCATCAGTCACTTCCTCATCATCCGTTTGATGCTCAGTCTCACTGCACTCCTTATCAGCCTCCAACATGGCTCCATCATCTCCACCAGCATCACAAGTCGTTTGACCGCTGCTCCGCGTCACCGTTGCTGGGTTCTCTGTTACTGCACACCCATTTCCACTGTCCATTTTGCGTGGGCCAAGTCCATTCCGTTCATAAATTTCAAGTGAATAGTTTGCTGTGCTTCTTCTGGGTCTATGGGTGAGGATATTGGTTTCATTTTGGTTTGTCGATGATCTCCCCCTCTGTCCAGACACAGTCGGCACCGTGGATCCCAGCACCGGGGGGACCACCGTCTCGGTAGTCACCAAAGGTAAAGGGGGTGGCTCAGGCGGAGGCAAGGGCAACTGCCGATTTGAAGGTTCAGTGTCTCTCGGTGGCCCCTCCTCCATTCCAGGACGATGATGTTGTGCTAGAGTAGGCTCCGCTGCCGTTTGCAGTGGGTCGAGAAGTGGTGGCCAGGTCAATGATGGCAAACCCACCCAAGCCCCAGCCACCCACGGCACCCCAGGTGGTGGGGCCGGTGGTGGCACGGGAACAGCCGGCGCTGTCGGCACAGCGTGTTTGTCTACTAAGCTAACTGGGTTCTTACACGGCCTACCACGCTTTGGCCGCTTTGCTCTGGCTGCTGGTGGTAATAAGTGCAACGGCACATGTTGTCTGATACGTGCGTTCAGGTGTTGAAGAGTCCTACCAACGTACCGGGCAGCACAATTCCGGCACTCAAAGAGATAAACCAAATGGCTTGAAAGCTGGGGAGGTAGGACATCCTTCCTCACCATGAACGCACGTACCGCGGTGAACACGGGGATGAAGTGGGCAGCAAAGTATGTTTTATTGACTAGGGTCTTGATAGCTCTGGACATGCTGACAGACGCGTTGCCTTTCCAAGGCAGGCATAAGTAGATAGGACACTTTCGAGGACCTGTGAATGTATCTTTGTTATTAGATTCTTGCTTCAGTATTTTGTTCAATAAGTCATGTGGGTATCCATTCTTAACCTCTTTAGCGCGAGCGTCGTACTAGTACGACGCACATGAGTTGCATGCCCCACGGCCGTCGTACTAGTACGACGCGCGCTGTACACTGTACAGTGAACCTGCATCTCATAGTCGTGGGGTCCGTGTTGAGTCCATAGTGACTTGTTCAAACTATCGCAACTCACTCAATACTTGGTCGATTCTCACAATCGAAACATGTATCTGCAAGAGAAAACTCTCAGCTGGCGATAGAAACAATCGCCGAAGCGATGCGACTACCGGTTGTTGAGATATGCGACTCGACACGGCAAATTTCAACTCGATTTTTTTGCGCAGTCTGCAGAACGCGTATTTTCCATCATGGATCCTTTTTGCGCTACCTGCTGCCATGGAAACAAGATTCAAATGATGGTAGTGGATCCCGTGAGTCCTCACAAAAAATTTGAGCTCGATACGAGCAAGGAGACCGAAATGGCAGCTGAATATTTGAGCTTGGTTAGTTTTGGCCGTGCTCAAGTCTGTCGAGCGCGTGGATGAAGTTTGCCAGACTGTAGCACGGGGTTTTGGTTTCGCTCCGAGCTGGGTTTGATACCAGTTTGTCCCTCGTCTCACGACCTTTCCAGGAAGCTCAAGATCGTGGAATTCGTCCAAGGGAAGGTAAAGTTATCGATCCTTGAGCAGCTAGTACTTTCATGGGAAAATGCGACTTTTACAGGTGTTGACGTGGGGCGCGCTCAGGTAGCGTCGTGCTAAAGAGGTTAAGGAATATTGATCTGAGAAATTCCAGCTCGTCGTTGAGCTTCGTTTCAGAGCAGAGCCGCTTTGCTCTCCCCACCAGGTTACGCACCAGGTTCACCTTGTATTGATGTGAGCAATATGAATCATAGACGATGTACTGCCCAGTGAAAGTGGGCTTTCGGTAGACTGATGTTACGACACTGTTATTAGATTTTTCTACCTGCACATCCAGAAAGGCGAGTTTGTTGTCATGCTCATGCTCACATGTGTATCTAAGCGCTGGGTGTAGGCTGTTTAGATGATGAAAGAATGTGTCACATTGCTCAACGGAATCAAAATATGTAAAAGAATCATCGACGAAACGAACGTATACCTTAGGCCACATCGACTCATTGATCAAGCATTCACAGTATCCAACGAATATATTTGCCAAAACGGGTCCAAGGGGGGACCCCATGGCCACACCGTCCACCTGCCGATACATTATGTCGTTGAACGAGAACTCTACGCCAGTAGTGACCAAGGACATTAACTTACGGAAGGCTGTCTCCGACAACCAAGGAGTATCTACCGAATCATTTCGATACAGTACATCAGCACAAATATCGATTGTCTCATCCAATGGTACGTTCGTGAACAATGATACTACGTCAAATGAACACATATGAGCACTAACGGGAACCTGATGAGAGCGCAAGATATCTACAAACTGGAAACTGTCTTTCACTGTGCGCGTACAGTAATAACTTTGTACGACCCCGAGAATAACACAGAGCCACTTAGAAATGCTGTACTGTGGAGATGAAACCATTGATAGTATCGGTCGCAAAGGACAATTGGTTTTATGTATTTTTGGCAAGCCATAAAGTCGTGGACGGACGAATATCCTCACCCATAGACCCAGAAGAAGCACAGCAAACTATTCACTTGAAATTTATGCACGGAATGGACTTGGCCCACGCAAAATGGACAGTGGAAATGGGTGTGCAGTAGCAGAGAACCCAGCAACGGTGACGCGGAGCAGCGGTCAAACGACTTGTGATGCTGGTGGAGATGATGGAGCCATGTTGGAGGCTGATAAGGAGTGCAGTGAGACTGAGCATCAAACGGATGATGAGGAAGTGACTGATGATGATGATGGTGGTGATGAGGACGATGATGATGAAGATGAGACGGAGGACGAGGATAAGGCGGAGGAGATCGAAGGAAAGGAGCGGGATAAGACGGAAGAGAGCGACGTGAGCAAAAAGTCAGCTGTATTTTGTCACTTGTTATCACGTCCAGATTGTCGTAGTGTGTACGATGATTCTCACTTTTCTGTTTTGTGCCGTGCAAGTTATGTTAAGCAGTTGAAGGTTCTGGAAGCTGTATGTATTCGTGTGCATAATCCTGTTCTTTGTAAACAAAAGAAGCATGTAGTCGCGCTAAAGTTGTTCTCGTAGCTGGTTATCAGATGTAAATGTTGTGTCATGTTGCACTGTATCACCTCTTGCTTTGTGGCTGCACTCAGTTATATACGTTAGCACTATGTTTGACACCTATTATGTAATGCTGTAGCACTTCCTTTGTTGTTCACACTTTTAATTAATTATGCTGTTATAAAATGTTCTATTTTTGTACACAGTACCCTCAGTTCCGATACTATTCACTGATGAGCGGAACACGAAAATCGATTTTGAATAACATAAAAATCCTTAAAAATTCCATGAACTCGTTGTTGTTTGGCCATGTCTGCATCGATTATACTCCTAATTGCACTAATAAAATTTAAAAAAATCAACTATTACTTGTATACTGGTATAGTACATGTACCGGTATACTACATATTGTAACAAAATGATATGTGGAGCCTAGCCGGAGATATTACCGGTAGTGCAAGAGCGTTTTTTTTTTTTTTTTTTTTTTTTTTTTTTTTTGGTGCCATGCATACCGAATTTATCCTTATACCGAAAGGTCAGGGGCTGGCTTTTACCGAAATTTTACAACACCGAAAATAAGGTGATATACAGTACCTGAAAGGTCTAGCTAGAGTTCGAGTGGATTTCGAGAGCGATAGGTTGGTGATTCTGATTGATACAGCGCCGCATCAAAATAGATAATCGTGTTACGCTGTGCAGGTAAGAGCAGCGCAAGCCACAAAAAAAGTAAACGGCTACTCGGAATCAGCTCCATTTTGCTGAACGGCCAAGATCGCTCACCTC